GGGGGGGGGGGGAAAAACTAAATGAAAAAGCAGCAAGATGAACCATTTTTGCACAGTTAAGAACAGTACAATACAGGAAAAGCAGCCAGGTTTCCTTCCCCCAAGAGTTTCTTTTAAATAAAGAATGATCCTTTGTCACATATCATTGATGTTTATTTCAAGACATGCCACGTCAAAAAAACTCGCCTTTAATATTGCATTATAAAAGCACTTTACATCTCGTTCTGCCTTTAAGTTATTGTTGTGCAGAGTTGCTATAAACCCAGGGCAGGGCACGAGTCTAAGCGTTTGCTTCAGGAATGAAGAATTCCAAATTTTTTTACGCCTGCTTCCTGGTGAAAAAGTGGTGGTGAAGACGATTCCCTTCTCTTTCCCCGTTGGTTATTTTAGATGGTAGAGGGGCAGAAGAGAACAAAGGAGGAGCCTGAATATTTGCTTGCAATTGTTAAGTAGCAATCGCAACACAGACTCAAGAATTCCTTCCTGCACTGTAACTCAGCCATATTCGCCCAGCAAACAATGTATTTACAATTGTGTTTATTAACTTACACAGCAACTTCACAATGACTAGTAAAGATTAAAAGGGTGCACTTCTAGTGTGTTCGATTCCGTGTTTCTCAGGTAGCTACATCTCGCAACATCAGCAAAGCTCTAAACAGATTCCTCAGCAAAACAAAATGAAAAATAATTACTGAAAATAGTAAAAAAAAAAAAGAATTAAGCAAAGAAATAAATATTGAAGAAAAATGGTTAATTGTAAGCCTAGTTAAATAGAAAACTAAATTACTAGTTATTTAACCAAACTATACAGCTCTAGTAAACCAAACTAGATTTGGAAGACTGAACGTAAAAAAAAATTGCTAAAAAATAAAGGCATCAATCTGCATAATCATAAGTTGGTTTCCATCCTATTAAACTCCCTTCCTTTCCATCTAAGATCTCTCAACTAGATTTCTGCACGATCAAAGTAGACACCCCCTTCCCCAATCGACCTACGACCACGCTACGGAAAAGCGGGTGCGATTCCCCCTTCCACCGCCCCCTCTCCCCCAGCCGTGAGCACGGCATTTCCTCCAGCTGCTCTTTCCTCCTTCTGGTTTTACATTTTTAAAAGGTTTCAATCCGCTTCGGCAGGTTTTAAGTGCCAGTCCTGAATTCATCTAATTATCTCCCCCTACAAAAAAATAAAAAACAAAAAAGAAAAAGCAAACCGCTTTCTCCTCCAACCAGCTGAAACATTACGTTCTCATCTCTCGGGCAGTAATAGTTTACTTTGTTGGTGTTCTACATAAAAGGGGGGAAAAAAAAATTGCTCTTAAAACTCATCTTGCACTCAAAACGTATTTCCCTGTTTCCTGCAAGTGTTTTGCTAATGCACATCCACCCTTTCCTTCCCCCCCAAATCCTCCAGAAGCCATCCATCCCGTTCAGAAAGACACTTTGTATGTCTGGGTTTGCTTTCTTGGAAGTGTGTTCACGTTGCCTCTGCAAGAACTAAAAAATTCCAGTAGCCTTTCGTGGTATCGAAACCCCCGCTAAGGTTGGTTTCCAAAAAAAACGTTTTGGGGGTTTGAAAACCAGTCAGACTATCTTTGCTCAAAAGATTAAGAGCTTGGGGTTATTTTTTTTTCGTTATTGTAAGGATAAGCGTTTCACCCTCGGCATATGCCACCTCCGCTTGCGTTTCTGACTGCTGTCTAGCCATTTCCAGTTTGTTAGAGAAATCAAATGGGTAAGATTTGCAAGCATTCTTCTGCACGTACATCTCGTCTAAGTCCAATTCAAAACTTGCTCAGTTTCCATCATTTCAAAGTGCAATATCATAACATATTAAAAAAGGAACAAATATTAAGAAATTGTACCTATTTTTTTTTTAAAGTTATAACTAGAATATGCTGGAATATTTTGGCTTTTATTTTTCTTATAAATAATGAAGACACTGACATTTTCTTTGTGTGTGTGTGTGTGTGCTTGTGAAGCTAATAGATCATCTCCACGAGACAGCCAGCGATGATGAACTGCAATACGTTATTACTGAAAGGGGAAGGTTCAAGCCAATATTCACACTGCAGTCAATGAAGAGTAAAGGGAGGGAAAGCAGTGATGTTCTGGAGAAAGGTAGAAGCCACATGGTATTAGCAGGAACAGCCTCCTTCACTGACAGGCTGCTCTTGAGGCTTTTCCAGTTTTATGTCAATCACTGGAAGAAATAAGTTAAGGCAAACAGATATCCAACTCTTATTTCCCTACCAGCAGAGGTGGGGCAGGATTTAGATTTTCGGTTCAGTATTCCCCACTTGATAAATATTTGCAAAAGCTCTTGTAAAGACCAGCTTGAAACCAAAGTCAAGGTACAGGTTTCTCAGCAGCCCCTCTTGCCCTGGTATTGACACCTTCCTGAGGAGGTGGCAGAAATGTCGTCAGACCCAAAATATCCATTGCTAACCAGTCTGTTCTTCCCCAGTCATCTCTTCTTGTTCTAAAGCAACTGCTAAATCAAAGGTGTGTGCACTGAAGGGTCTAATCACCGTTTCCAGAGGGGACCAGTAACAGCTTGGAAAGCCCCAGTTTCAGATCAATGTTAGGCTGGGTCTTCCAGCAGCTGCTGTGCACCCAGAAGGGGCTCAAAGAACGAAGCCCTGGAGATGGCAGGAGCCTGGAGGAACCCATGGAAGGACAGCTCAGTTCCTCCTCCAACTCCTGCCCCTCTCCACGGCCAACCAGAGGCTCCTGTCACTGTCCCCACGCAGCCTGGGGGTGGGCAGAGGAGCCTGTCTGGGTTTGAATACAGCTGGCAGTGTATTCTAGCCTGTTCCTTCTCACGCTGTGCCCGTCACCGAGTACTTACACCGCCCCCAGCTGCCACGCTCCGTACGTGCCATCCTGAACTCACCCATCCACCCTTCCTCTAGTTAAACTGCTCTGCTCACCCCAGTGCCAGCCAACAAACCCCCTCCCTGAACTCACCCCGCAGCGACAGCTGATCTCCAACAAGAACGTGAGGTCGCTGGAGAACTTGCTGCCCTGAACCTTGATACCTCTAAGTCAGACATGCTCGAAAGGAGCTTTGCCAGCTTCATCACCGAGCACAAGCAGTTCAAGATCTCTGAACCCACAATGTTCAGCAAAAAAGCCTACAGAAAATACACACACACACACACACACACACACACACACACACACACACACACACACACACAGAGCCAACCCCCCCCCAGTAATCCCAGCAGAGCTGTCTGGGAGACAGTCATATTCAATTTCTGCTATCTGCAGTCTGCAGAAAGTCAAATTTCAAGTGCCCTTATTGCACTCCCATTTAGAGACCAGTGATCAAACTCCCTGATAGGGAAACTGCAGGCCCACCACCCCACTGCCTGTGCGTGCTACCACCATCCTCATTAATAAAGATGGGTGCTCATTAACCTTTTGGTGACCTGCATAATGAAATATTTTTGATCAATCAAGTTCGTATCGCACAAAGCTTGTGCCTTAGCAGCTGCAACCCACAGCTTCTCAAATCCCCCTTTCCCCTATGCAGTAAGATGCTCTACAGGAGATGATTTCAGCATTCTTGTCCCCCTCCTACAGTTCCTGCCGCATCCTTCCCTCAACACACCATTTCTCCTCCATTTACCAGCTGCCAGCTACGTGATCCCTGCTGCAAATAAAACAGACAGCCCTGAAAAAAGTCCTTCCACTCAAAAAAGCTCACCCACTTCTAGCATCTCAGCAATTCTTGCAGTCAAGACGCAGCACAGCCCCACTTTGCTCCCACCTGAAAGTGCCCACCGGGACTTCCCCTACTCTTTCTCCAGTCCCTCCCCATCCCGCACTCCTGCACGCAGAGGCAGGCAGCCTTCTCTCCACCTTCTGCATTACCTTTCCTCTCTAATCCAAGCAGAAATTGGTAGTCTGGTGAGACTGTAAGAAGTGGTTCAGTTATCACAGAACTTTTCACCTTCCGAGCTACACTGAACTGCAAACACACCCACACTTTTGTCACAAGCCACCCACAAAAGCGCCTACACAGCCTTAACTGCCCTCCCCAAACACACCCAGCTGGCCAGGTCAGGAATTCAGATTTAGCCATACTGCTTGTCACGCACAGATTTTATCCTTTTTCTATCCCTCATGCCACCTCCTTTCCCTTCCCCGAGGCTGATCCCTTCAGTTGAGACTTCTCCTCCCTCACACCACGCAGGTGCCTGTCCAAAGCTGTCTGGGGTCAAGCCCTGCAACCGGCTGCCCTGGGAGGTTACGGGATCTCCACCCTCAGAGATGGCTGAACATTCCCTGAATGTGTGACACTGAGAAACTGGTCTGATTTTGGAGGTAGCCCTGCTTTGAGCAGGAGGGTTGCAAAATGGACCTACAGAGTCCCTCCCAACCCAGCTTATTCTGTGATTCATCAAGTCAGATTGGAGCATCTGCTCTGCAAGAACCAGAAACCTTTTTTTTTTTCCTCCAGACCTCACTGCAGCTGTTTTCTCCCAACTTCACAGTCTCCCCCTCTCTCCCCACACCCAACCCACTCAAACTCCAAGCAAAGAATCTCTCTGATTCTGTTTACACCCTTCTGCACCTTCCCACTGTCCTCCCCTTTGGCTTTCACGCAGTTGTCCTCACTTTTACACTACCTCACAGCCCTAAGCATCCCTACTTCCCCTGATTTACAGGAGAGGCCTCCACCCTTAACACCCCTAGTCCCAGCCTCTTCTCCCACCAAACTTTCTCCCTCAGTATTTTGAGCTCGAAGGTTACTTGCCCCTATGCCCCCTCTCAGGCCTCTTTTTGGGATGTCCATAAGCTGACCGAGGGCTGCAGGAGAGTTATCATTCCCTCCTCCTTCATCTTTGTTATTCAGGGCCTGCATCTTCCTCGTCCACGGTAACGCCTGGCAGTGCTTTGCCACCACCAAATCGCAGCACAGGCGCATAAAGGATACTGTCTTCTCTACTTTAAAAAAAAAAAAAAAAAACACCACACAGGGAACAGATCAAAACAATCGTACTTTAACGAGTGCACCCCAGTTGACACAGTTCAAACAATGATTCAATACATCCTTCACCACTATTTACACTGCTTACACCAAAAAGCCTGACACCAAATATAACCTTTATTCTTAGGAAATGGCAAACCACATTTTTGTTGTTACTGAAGATCAAATGTTACCGGCTACAAGCAGCAAACCTTCTATCACCTTCTCTGCAAATATGCTCTGTTTGGAAACCAGCATTTCCACCTCACATCTGCCACTGATGTCCACAGACTCTAACAACTTCGCCACGTCAGGTGGGAACTCGACCTTCACAACTCCACCGAGTATTAGTTACTCAGAAGCACGGACGTGCTGATAAAGTCAAACACATCATCCAGGAGTCTGTCACCAATATTGGCCAAGCTGGCACACACAGAAGAGCATCATAAAAGGAGCATCTTCTTCCAGGCTCCACATATCTATGGCTCAGGTTCCCCAGGAACCAGACAAAGGCTTTTTCTTTCAGTAATCTGTCCAATCCTTTTATGAACGCTCCCAATTTTTGGTACCCAACTCCACTGTTATCACATGTCCACACTTGGGGTATAAAGCACAGAAAAGGAACATGAGTCAAGTGCACTTGAAGGCTGTCTCCAGTTTCCTTAGCTCCAAAGTCTCTTCATAGTTTTATTCCACTGGAAGGAGGCTGAGAGCTAAGACTGAAAAGAACCAATTCCCTCTCCTGCATTTCCTACCTTTGCCCCTGAGGCTCAGATTTGTAGTTCCCAGCTTTTTCCTAGCCCTCTGGGTAAGGAGCCTACACATTTGCCCGTGATTAAAGCAAGAGTATTCACCTGAATTTCCTGAGCCCACAATAATTTGTCTCCTCCTGCATAGGAACAACAGAGTTAAGGACTGTCCTTCAGCTGAGGGTGATTTTTCTGAGAAGTTGCCACATCCAGTAGGTAGGAGCCACACAATTTTCAACAGTAAAACAGTTCAACAGTTTTTCACGTGCCTCAGCAAGTGTGCACACAGGAGGACAAGACAGATCAGATGGACAGAGGATAAAGAGCATCTTTCCTATTCATCAGGGTTATCAAATGACTACCTAATTGTTTCTTGCCTTTGAAGAACAGCCTTAGTAGAGTTCTGATCCCGTGCTGATGCACTCAGCACACATCCACATATAAACATCCGACATACACTGCATTAATATTTTTACACCGTTACAGACTTCGTTGCTACTACATCTTTCTTGCCCGCACATTCTCAAGCATCCAGGACACGAGCTGTTACCAAGCTCTCAACATCTCCATCCATCAGTGTGTTAAAATCACCCCACTGCGTGCCCAAGAGCGACTCGCGAGTCCCAGGAGGCCTGGTGCAAGTCTGACATCAGCCTTCATGTGTTAAATTGACATCATTGCACATTATTTCAGTCCTTTCCTCAAATGACACAAAACTAAACCACTTATTCCCAGTGACCCACTTTCCACAGAAAATTGAGCCATGCTGCTGTCAGTCTGTTTATATTACGAATGTAGGTCCCTGAACAGCTTCGCTGATCGGGGGCTCAAGCGCTTTTGAAATTTGGCCCTGAGTGTCCAAACGATGCTGGGTAAACATTAAGGCAACTTTGTCAGCTTGACAAGTACCCTCCAAGCTACACAGGAACAAGCCCCCAGGTTTGTCAGGTGCGGCTGTGACCGTTGCAGGGCAGGAGTACAAACACACGGTGCTCGTTGGTGTCTGACCTCTGCTGTCACCACTGTTTGTTCCTGACTAAAGGGACTGCTACGTGAGGAGAGGACAAAACGGACAGGTTAAAAAATAAAAAAACAAAGGCAAAGCTGCTTTCCTTCACCATTCCCATTATCTCTCTTGTAATCACTCTAGAAACCAGCATCCTCACGCCCTTTTTCACCACCATCACCACCACTTTGTGGGCATACACCAAAGTCTGGACTGAGACAAGGATATGGGTCTGGGAAGTCAGTTCTTGCTGTATCTTAGTGATTTTAGCCAAAAATTTCAAAGCAAAAAAAAGCTTTGAATGCTCCTCTAGGTTTCCATTCACCTCTACCACTATCCTCAGCCTCCCAGTCTCGCTGAAAAGTTCAGGCAAATTCTCATGTGCCAACAACAAAGAAAGAAAGATCATGTCAAAATTCCAGAGGCTAAACTGCCCTAGCCACCAACACCAGACAGACAGCAGGAATGCACACCCACCCAAATGTATAAAAGCATGAGGGGGCTCCTGGGCAGAATTAAGATAATTTTGACACAGGGAGACGTTAAACATTAATCTAATTGCAATCCTTGTATAAAAAAAGTCCTATCAATCAAGCTCACCACTTCTTACTGTATCTGCTTGCCTCATCTCACCAACCACTCTTAATTCTGCTTGAAAAAGCAACGTGACTATGATTTTTCCAAACATTTTAAAACTAGTCAGACATGAGCACTTTTAGCTTATACGAATGAAATAGGGGTGAAGAAAGAAGCTGCAGACTTTCAGAGGAATCTTTCATCATATCCTCACGGTCAGCATTATTTTTCCTTGCCGTTCCAATCAGATAAGAGGACAGCACTGCCAACCATCTTAGCTTTATTACTTTTCAAAAGGCTTTTCTCTCACTCAGTATAGTACTCAACTATTCTTAAGTTTTTTCGCCTCTGGGAGAGGATTAAGGAAGCAACTGACATTCAATCTCATCTTCCTCCGGAAGCCTTAATGTTTTAATATTATATTTGAATTCACAAACGCTTTGCAGTCTCAAGGCTTTCTTTGCCTTTAACAGTGTTTATTAAACTCCCTGACTCGATCACATTTGGGTATGGAAGGTTGTGACTCTCCTCCTTTACTGGGCTTTGTCCCTAAAATTACTTCTGCTCTCAAAAGTTCAATACTCAGTCAGCTTTCACCAGTTGATTAACAAATCTCAACTTTCATTTTATGAAAGAATCAGCTTTGTGACTTCTGGGAAAAGGAAAAAAAGAAAAAAAAGAAAAAAAAGGATTACTGGACAGCCACCAGGCTGCATTGCAAAATATTCAAATACCATCTACAGTTATGCTTTCAGAAGCATACTGGTATGTTGTCAATGCATGAACAGCTGATATGGTAAACTCTGCTCTTCTCCGGCACATCACTTCATAACTGCATCTATCCCTATTAGCTCTGCAGGGGGAGATCTGTTAAACCTCTCACCCCTCCAACACACACTTCCCTCCTGATATGCAAATGATACATTAGAGGCAGAGAACGGAGCAAATTAGCTAATGTGTCCCACCAGTACACTGCCTTTTTTTTTTCCTCATATACTGCAGTCTTAAAGAGTAATTTTGACCCAGTTCTTAACACAGAAGGTTTGGGGGAGAAAACAAAAAAAACAACCCTCTTATCAGTTTTAAGGATGGATATGCAACAGAGGTTGGCGCAATCCTACCAGATTGTGCCTAAATTAGGTCGCTCGCTTGACATCTTTGCTCTGATAGAAAGAAGGAAACGCATCATCTCATACAGCTCTTTGCTGATGTCATGCACTTTGAGATCCTACGGGGGAACAGCATTAGCAAAAAAACCTTGTTTTAAACTGCAGCATTGCTATTTACTTCCCCGTCGTACAATACATAGCAAGGGAGGGATGCAGTTTACAGAAGGGAGGGGTGGAGAGTCTTTAAAAAACCTCAGCTGCTGGGAACCAGCTGGGATTACTGCATTTAAACCAAGCTGCAAGTGCTTAAAATACAGTAATCCTTTCTTTACATTAAGACCAGGAATAAAATTCTGCCTTTAGTGGTATTTCTCCCCTAAATTATTTGACTAAAAAAAAGGAATTTGGCAACTAAGAAAATCAACTTGCTTTCTTATTAACCTTCTGCTTATCAGCCAAAGCATATGTGAACAAATCCAATTAGGGAAACTTCATGATGGTTAGAAAGCAGCTTTCTACGGAGGGACCTTACCACTTTGCAGTGCCTTCAGGACCCAAGCCAGCAGTCTTAACTCACTGAAAAACGTCACAGGCAGTTGCACATATATATGAATATATGTAATAGTGTATATACACACACACACACGTCTAAATATTTGTGCATATGTGTGTGTGTATGAAAACACACGTATCTGTGAGCATTCAGGACTTTTTCCCAAGGCAGGAGTTAAACGCAGCCATGTGAAAGACTAAGAGCCACACAGAGTCTCTTTCAGCATTCAACCCTGCAATCTCCTTCCTGATTAAACACTGAAAAAACAACCAAACCCCTCATCTCTTGCCATTAGTTTCAACTCATTTGCCAAACTGTGCCTTTCCTACTACTCCAGCCAATAAATCCCCAACAGATCAGTGTCACAAACAACTGTAGGCATAAAACAGTTTTCACTGTAACACTCCGGCAGCAATATGGAAAGGACAGGAGGATGACTGTCCAGATGGAAAAGCCAGGCAAGAAACCTGTTCCCTGATGCAAAGCAAACAAAAATGTTTTCCTAATTCTCATTCTCCGAGGAGAGCAGTGCGACTCAAAGAATAATTCTTGCCCATCAGATAGACAAAAATCAAAAGACAGGGGACAGAGCCAAGCTGCTAGATGCAGCCAGCTCTGTGAAAACAGGGTTATTCCAAGGGCCGTGGTCCTTTAGCTGCTGCCGTGAGAAAGTTTTTCTGCCAAATACCATATTCAGTCCGTGGCTCTGAGAGCAAATGTAAAGCGTGCCAGGTACTGCTGTACGGAGGTCTTCGGGGCTCGCTCTCCCCTCTCTTTCTACAAGACAGCAAAATGAACCCTGACATATTCTGGGCATGAAGTCCACAGACTAACAATAAGATTCCCTGAAATACAGACTGCCGAGATAGAGCATGAATCTCAAAGTCTTTTAAAGCTTATTCAGGGCTGACAAATAAAATGAATTAAAGACTACAATTCTCTGCATTAACTGAAGTTATCTACTTCTCTCCTCAGTCTTAAAGCTCCCCTGACAATCGGTCTTTGCTGAAACTTGCAGGATCCAAAAGCCAATCTTTCTCCCCTCTATTGCCTCAATTTAATCCCAGAACAATACTACCACCATTTCTACTCTGCAATATCATCCAGCCATTCTTCCTTCAACACCTTCTCCCCAAAGCCAGAAGGAACAGCAAGCGTCTAGGACCCTGGAGACAGCCCTACCTTAACAGATCCAGCAGTGCACAGCAGCTGTACGTTACAATCTAGTTTGACAGTGTGCAACTACAAGAGATGAGGCTCACCCCAGCAGCTCATCAGATCAATCTTCGGGGATAAGAAATGCCACAGAAATCATAAAATGAAAGCCTGCCGTGTCCAGGTTTCAGTCAGCACGTACACAGGCTGCAAATCCTCTGTATTTCTCTGCAGTGGCTACGTGGAGATCCACCCCTGAGCCTCTAAACCAAGCCCCAGGTTATTCACTTCCACCTCAGTCCCCAGTACTGTGTTAGCTGAGGTGTCGTCTTCTGAGCTGTCCCTTTTCATGTCACAGGGGAACAGAAAAAAAAATAAAGCCTCTCAGCAGTATGATCCCCTTTGTTGGGAGAAGATCCTGGCATGGAAATACAGACTGTTTGAAGCCTGGTGCAACTCACCTTCTGGAGTTACACTACAAAGCCAGGCACTCTGGATTTGTAGCATAGTTACAGTGAGCACAGTGCTGAAGACACTGTCCTTTCCTCTCATCAGCGCTGCCTTCCAGCAGAAAAGGATGAACAAGAAGTTAAAGTAGCACGCAAAGTCAAAAGTACCATGGCTTCCCACTGATGGCTATCAAAGGAGTGACATGGCCAAAAAAAGTCTTAGCTGTTACTCTCCTCAAGCAGGACAAGAAATTAAGCTGCTTCTATAACCTTAGTGGGGCAAACGCTGCTTCTGAAACCTTGTGGACAAGCATCTCTTGGAAAACCCTAGTGCTTGAGCCAACACAAATAGCACCGAGATTCACCACATGGGAGGTGACATTATTCAAGATCTGACTGAGACTGGGATGAGGTTTGTGTACTGGCCGGCGCCCCAAGGCATCCCCTGAGCTGTGTGACCAGCCAGCTCTGTGCCTGCTACCCCAGCCTGGCAGCCAAATCTGGGGCAGTGAGGGCAGCTGGGCTGCAAGACACATCTCCAGGACTTGCCTGCACACAAGTAATGCTAGAATTCACATCTCTGACCTGAAAGCCACAATAAAAGAATGCAAGGAAGCTACAGTGGGTCATACATGAGGTGCTAGGAGAAAGAGAGCTCACCCTGGAATTGGTAACATCAAGATGTCCACATCTGACACCGCACAGAAACCAAAGCCTTCATGAGAAGGGTCAGACTAGAAATTAGGAAGTATTTTTTTACAAAAGGGGTTATTGGGTGTTGGAATGGGCTGCCCAGGGCAGGGGGGAGTCCCCAGGATCCCTGGGGGGGTTGAAGAGTCGGGCCGAGCCAGCGCTGAGGGATCTGGGGGAGTTGGGAACAGTCAGGAGGAGGGTCATGGTTGGGCTGGAGGAGCTGCAAGGGATTTTCCAACCTCCATGATTCTGGGGTTCTGCGAAGGGGATGGAAATGCAAAGAAGCCGGTGATGGAGGACTGAGGGTTCAACTTCATCCCAAGTCTTCTTCAGCGTTAACTTGTGCCATTCCCTACCTTTAACCCAGGGCACAGGATTTACATCCAGGAGATGGGTTTTGTGCGGGGAAGAGAGGACAGTCGGGAAACAACAGCGTTTTGTCAGCTCTTCTGGACTGCCCAGACAGGCTGGCAAGCAAAGCAAAGCACAGACAACCTGAGAAGGTTTAACACTGGCAGGCAAGAGTTTGCATAGAAGGAAAAAAAACCCAACAAACCAAAATAGATCATACTCCCTAATCTACACATTACAGCCATACCCATGTAGCTCTGATACTGCCAATTGCTAAATCTGAACCTAAACCCTCGTGGACAAACCAATGACTCGCCACTAGTCTAAGATTCACCTTTACATTAATATTTCATACCTGGCACTAGGTGATCTTAATTTTTACATAAATGTGTTTCATTATGTGTAGTCAAAATATCAACCTTGTATCTAAAATAGTTTGACACCTGAATTAAAAATCCTCAATGAAAATTAACTTGGATAGTAATTATTCTGCAGGATCAGAATATATTACAGGTAGAGGTTATCAGTTATGAGAAGGTCAAATTTGCATTCAGCTTATGAAAGAAAGAGTTTATATGGGTTATGGAAGGGTATCCATTCTGCAGTTGTACCCATATGCTTTCCCATTTCATTGTGGAAGAATTTACTGACAACATAGTAAAATAAATCCGTATCATTCAATAAAGAAGCTGCAAGGAAACAGAGAACTAGATAAACAGTAGTATTTAAAGTCTTATCCTTTGAGGATTGTTTCAACTACCAATTACTAAACTAATAAAAAATGAGAGTTTCAAATATATAGAAGAGCTTTGAAGTTCCTGAAAATCCCAGTCCACGTCTGCAACAGAAGGATCAAAACTCACAAGAAAAAAATCCATTTTCAGTTCTTTTCGAATAACCACTTTGTTTTGATACTTTGCACACAGAATGAAGTCCCTTAAAATCTGTCCTCTTGTCCAGTTCTGACAAGACTTCATGAAGTACCCACTCAGATTACAACGCAGTGCTATGTAACAGCCCCAAGGTTTTTTCAAATATTACTGTTTATTAATGCTAGTGAAGAACAAGAATTATATCTCAGGACACTAAATAATGCATTTAATACAAAAGAAACTAGCCCGCAGGTTCCCACCCCCACTTTTTTCTGCTGGAGTTAAATTACCAAACCTATTTTCTCACAGTCTTACAGCATGTAACTTGGCAATTAAAATCAGAGGTATAATTTGTCTAGACCTCCACTATACAACTCAGAATTTTCTCTAGAGAGTGTGCAAGTGAGGCTACAGCTACAAAAATGGCTTTATGCTCTGACAAGCTCATTAGTACAATCCCTGAATGACTTCAGCATAAAATACAAAAAGGGAAAGTTTGTTCCTCCATAATGCATTAAATGGAGCTACCATCCTTAACAACAAAGGCTGCGGTGGCTTTACACAGCACGCGTTTTATTAAACGACAGTATCATGCCAAAATGGATTACAGGTGTACTGTATGAGATTTTCCTACTTACATCCCAAATCATCAGGGCTCTAACTAGCCTCAGAAGCCACAAGCTACCTTACAGGCTGGGACAAGGACTTCTGGAAATGTGTCAGCTGTACAGCAGCTCCCTCAAGGAAAGAGGGAATATAGAGCTCCATGTTCATCATCATTCCTCTCGGCGAGGCAACTGCTCTCAAGTGCACAGCCCCTAGATTAAGTAAACATTAAGGATTCCAGCACAGAATCCAAGCATTAATTACAAGCCAGTCTGGTGTTGTGGCAGGATAATTGGTGGCCCCTGGAACCGGACACTTTCACGCTCACTGGAACGCAGTGCTAAGTTAACATGTCTAATTATTCCATTATATAGGGAATAATTTTGCTACTAATACACAAAGACAAGGTACATTTTATTAACAGACCCTTTAGTCCTGTCTGTAACATATAGTAATTTATAACCCTATTTTAACTCCCAGTTCAACTCCACATACAAACTATTTGTGTAAGTACATCTGTAAGATACACATGTGATTACACCACATGTATGCATGTTTGCTCTGTGAAGACCTCCAAGAACAAGTGTCTTCTATGCCTTGCACTGCTGCATTTCCTCCTACCGTAAGACCAGCTGCCAAATACTTTAGGAAACATGACTCCATATGAGAAATTGCTGGATCGATGAAAAAGCAATATCCCATTATGCACTGAGTAGGGATGCACAGCTCTAGCTCTTTATTCATGATCTGCTAGTAAGCATATTTGCTTACATAACTAATAAGCTCAAACAAAATCTCTTTCATGTAAACACCAGATCAGTTCTGTGGTGTTTACTACTTTCACCAGTTCACTGTTTGCTCAGTGATTTATCTTCATTAACACAAGTGTTAAAACTTCATCTAGCAGGTCAGAATTTAAAGAGCTGCAGCTCATCTCACAACATAAAACCCAATTTCGTTGCAGTCGCATCAGCTCAAAAGACATTTCCCTACTTTCCCCCATTCAAAAGCAACTCATCATCTACCAGAAATAAATAGCTTTGGCTGTCCTAGTGCTCACATTTTCAGTGCCTTCCAAAAGAGTAGAAACACCGATTTAGACTGTCTCACTGTACAGTGGAAACATTTTAAGCCATCTTGTTCCTCCTTGACTGGTTTGTCCAGTTTTTCACTAAATCAGTACCAGAAAGCATCCTCAGACCTGTGTTTCCCCAACTTTTTGGCTCATGCCTTAATCCCTTCAACCTAAACACCAAATCTAGGTTATGAGGAATCTAGGGAAAGTATGATTCTGTACCCACAAAGCTTCTTCAGTAATTCCTCTTTTCTGAGAGGAAAGACATTCCGAGCCATTTGCTGCAACATCAGGGATCCTTGTGAGCCTCAGCCAACAATTCAACTCTGAGACAGTGCTCACTGTGTATGGACTACCACATCCCTCTGACAGCCTCTGCAAAGGCTCCCTGGTGTGGAGGGAACTCCTGTTCCCACAACAGTGCATTAACAGAAGTAGTCTCAGGGCTAGTTGGTGGCCAACACATTTACTCACCTGTTTTACATTGTATCCTGCTTTTGCACTAGTTTCAATGAACATTACATTCAGCTCTTTGGCTTTTCTTTCTCCTTCCTCGATGGACACTTGTCTGGGGAAGATAACACAGAATTAGGGGGAAAAAAAAACAAAACAACAGACAAACACCTTGAAAATGAAGATTTTCATCTTCGACTCAAGGAGGTGACTGCTTCATTACAGTTTGGAAAGCATTTAATGTTTTTTTCCCCGCATACTAATGGTATATACTGAGTACAGTTGTAGACAAGTACCACCATTTCACTGTATCAGGTGGATTTCCGTGGCACACCTGGTTCCCCAAATAGAACTGGGCTTTCCAACAGAACAGCTGAGTCGGCCAGTTAAGACTCCCCCAAATCCCTGTCCAGGAAGCTATGCTGTTATGTCTAAACAATTAACAGATTTTAATGTCCAATCATCATCAACTTGCAGCCTACAAAACTGTTTTCACAGAGGACCAAGTGTAACCATCTCCTATCAAATGAATTTTTCCCCATTTGCCCCTGGATGGGGTCCCACCTGTTAAGCAGTTTGCCACTGCTAAAACTGGGGGAAATTTTGGTTCAAGAGCTGGAAAATAAAAATCATGAGGTATCTGAGGGGCATACGTACGTGTGTGTAAACAAGTCTTAACAGAAGGCTATAAATCTGAAGTAAGGGTCAAAGGAGAAGCTATTCTGAGGAAGTATGTATTTCAACCAAATGCAGAACACTTCCATCTAGTGCTTTTGTTCTTGCTTTGTGACTCTACTCATCTGTATTAATACCATAAACCCAGAATAAACAGCAAATGCAACAAAAGCTGAAGATGCACAACTTCTAATAAAAATCTTTGTCTGCCAACTTATGAAAGCCCCTGAAGTTTTTCAAATGGGATGATTACTTGTACCTATCATTTAAATCTGAGCCAATTTATTACAAATATTTGTAACTATTTTAGCTTATTCATTGATGCAGCTTGTAGTTGTAAAATTGACATTTCTCTAGTCACAGCCATCTCCAGCATAGTCAAAACAAGCTTGAGCATTTTGAAAAAATAAAATACAAGTGTTAAAAATAGTTGTCTAGTAGAAAACAGCAGCAGATTAAGAAAAACATTTGAAAGCTGAGTTATTCCTCCATACCTCTTATCTGCTAGATCTGTTTTATTTCCCACCAGCATAATGATGACATCACTGCCCCTTTCCGTTCTGACATCATCAATCCATTTTGTTGTTTGCTGGAACGAGTTTACATCTAGCAGAGAACAGTGGAGAGGATTATCACTGCAGGTATTCTTCACAGATCACTGGTAAATACATTTGTAAATCTCAAATAAAAGCTTCATATTCTCTGGAATTGGCATAATAGGGTGATGAAGAATCAGCAAGTGAAACCCTAAGTCTCCCACAGTGAAGTATATGAAAGCTTTGGCATTAATTTCAAATGGGCAAGTACTTCATTACAGGTGAATTCAAAGACAGGGAGTGAACTGAGTTGATCTATAATTTGGTTTTGACAGCATCTATAAATGAGAAGTTTTATCACCACGTTTTAGATCAGTTCCCTTTTTTATAGTTCAACATAAAATATTCTATATAGAGAATGGGGATTAATGTGCACTCTACACTGCTCATGACTCGTGTATCTAGAGCAAGAGGTTCCTACAGTTTCAATGCTCCTCAGAAATTCTTAATCCACATTTTGTACAGCTTAATCACTTTTTATTTGCTAGGTTCAGGATTTTCTCTAGGAAATCTCAGGGTTAAACACACATTAGCAACTCCTGTATCACTGAACACAGAGTTCCCAATTATTTGCCTAGAATCAGAAACACAAATTTAATCTATCCACAGACACTCTTTCTTAATGATACATCCTTAAAAGCTGTGAGATAAGAATTCTAGGAAGCTATCCTGATCTACTGAGACAGTATGTTGTTTGGAAAGTCGCATCCCATAAGGAAAAACGAGTTGTACAGAAGCTGTCACAGTGCTCAGCATTTCCTAGTCAGCTACACAAAGAGCAGCTGAGTTGCTGAAGCAGTTTGCAGTACTTAAAAGGGGGGGGGGTGGGGGGTGTTCTGCAGCAGTTCTTGACAAGTATTGATTTTTTTTAATGGCTTCTACTGCATAGTAATATATTGTATGCTAGACAGTCAAGACTTGATCACTTGCCAGTGTCTTAATTCTTCTCTTTACCACTTGGTAATGTTCAATTTGCTAGGTCAGGAAAAAAAATTTTGAAGTTCACAGCTAACCTGCAATTTTAGTTCAAATGAAAGTGCTATTTTTGACAATTAAAGCTTTTCTAGGTAAAGCCCATATTCTTGCTGTAATCTTCTAGTATTTATAAATCAAAGGATGAGCGCTTTTGCATTTCTATAGAATTAGGCCATTGCCCTTGGTCAATTCCAGTTTAGAACTGGAAGTGTCTAAAGGGTTAGTTCTCCTAAAACAAAGTTTCTGTTCTTCGTAAATACAAAAAGCTAATAAGTTAGGGGTCTCTGGACTGAGGGGAGGGACAGAAGGAGAAGGCTTGAAAAAGCACTAATATTTTAGTTCACAAAAATGTACATACCTTAGTAAGAAATGAAAGAGCAATTGTTAAAGGATAAGGGCTTAGTGGTTTTACATATTGCAAAATGTGAAAGTGACTGAAATGAAAATGTGATGTTAATGGATTTTCCCCCCAGCCCGTGCCCAGATTTTTTGGGAGGGGGGAAGGGTAAATGGAGTGAAGCAAGCTACAGCTATCAGTGCAAAATCTCTAATTTAAGAATTCAGATATCTACGAACATGATTCAGGTGTTTGAGACCAAAAGTCATAGGTGATATTACGATCAAAAAGCAGATGAAAGAGGGTAAAGTGCAACAAGACCAGCCAGAACTCAAGGCTTCAGGAGAATGCAGTAGGAAAGGGTTACAAAATGATGTCATTTGTAAGACAGTTTATACATTACAACAGCAGCAATCAGGTGGCTAGCTTAAAAACTCGACTACAATAAAAGAAAACATTTTGTTTTTCATGCCAGAATGAAGAACAAGCAGATGACTGTGATAGGACATGCAATGCTAGGCTAAAGGATGAAAGGGGCAGAGTATTAGAAATGCAGAATTCCCCCCACTCACTTGTGATATCATAAACAACAACTGCAACAGTGGAGTCACGAATGTAGCTAGGAATCAAGCTCCTGAACCGTTCTTGACCTGCTGTGTCCCATAATTGCAACCGTACCTAACAAAATCAGTCAAACAAGCAAGAAAAATAAGAAAAAGGTCAAACCCAGTGCAATATACCTACTTGTGATATCGTAAACTACTACAGCAGCAGCAGAGTCACGGATGTAACTGGGAATGAGGCTACGGAAACGTTCCTGACCCGCAGTATCCCACAGCTGCAACCTGATCTGTGGGTGGGAGAAAATTAAAAAAGCCAAACTGCCACTAAAAATAAAAGAGTAAATAAATTTTACTTTTTGAAAAAAAAGCTAAATAAAAATTATAAACTCATGCAGGAGATGACTGGGGACTGGGAGCAGCAGCATACTGCCTCCTTCACAGCAATCTCTCCCAAGTGTTAGTAGTAGCCAAACTGGTAAATGTGCATCTATCTTGGCCTTCTGCTGGTTTGATTTTTAAAAACTGTTTCCCTTCCAGAAGGGGAGAAATAGAAATACTCAGCTTTCAAATTGAGAGGACCAACAAGAAAACTAAGGCAAACGTTCACCTGCAGTTCTGCCTACACAAGCTTTTCATGCTCTGCTGCTACCCTTCCTCAGGACTCGCACACGTAACCTCCAGCGTCCTGGAGGATGGTTGCTGGTGGACGAATCAGACCACACATCATAATTTTTCAAGGAAGAGCCTTCAGCTCCTGTCAAAGCACTGGAAGAGCTACTGATGTGAATTTTTCAAGGAGGATATAATGCCAGTTATTACTCCGTAGTTAAGCTTTAGCCACACCGCGAAGTAACATGCACACAGATGAGGCTGAACATCTCTTACCATCAAGGTTCTGAAAGAAAAGGCAAGATATACTAAAAGCAACATGTACAGCAAGGAGCACAAGGGCCAGCTTTGCTACGGAAAGAACATCCCATCACTCAAGCACTTTCAAGGCAATCGCCATTTATCGTGGGTTTATACAATACCATAAGCTTATGCAGCACTGCACAGTTTGCTTCTGCAAATAGCTCAATGGCTGCATTTCTTAATTAAGAATCTGAGCTCATTTTAAACCACAAGGAGATTTAAATCACAAGGAGAAGCGATTGCAGTTCAGGAGCTAGAACTGCACCAAGCTAACAAGCATCATTTGTGGATTACTGCTGAAGGCAACCTTCTTTTTAAACAAGTAATATTAAGAATATTGAGCTAGTTATTAACTGGCAGCATTTGGCAATTCATATTTTATCCTTCTGTCTTGTGATGTCAAAAATTGAAGGGGTTAAACATGGTCCCCTTCTTCAAATTCCCATCATTATGCACCCCTCAGACTATCAGTATCATCTCCATCTCTTTCTTCCAAGAGGATGATGCTATAGCACCTTCTGCTGCTTGTAAAATGGCATTCACGAGCCTTCCACGGATGAACCAAATGGTGATTTCCCTTTCCCCAAACAGAGAAGGGAGCTGCCTCCACAGCACTTGTCAGTCTGGAAGCAGCTGGGAGATGAAGTCTCAGTCTGTACTTCCAAGTGATCTCAGAACTGCGGGCTGCACAATTACAACAGATGCTGATCCTCATTCCTACTGTACGTAGAGAAGTGCAACAAAAATCTTACTCACTGTTCGATCCTCCAAATACATGGTTTTCGATAAGAAGTCAATGCCAATTGTTGCCTGTAAAAAAATAAAGGGAAAAAAACAATGCCTCTTAAATAAAACATCAGAACAAGGATAGTGATTTTCAGGGGAGTGAACATTACTGCTCCATCAGAACTCAGCATCTGCAGTACAACTGCAAAGAAAGATGCTGGTTTTCTTCCTTTCAAGACATAGCTCTACTTGTAAGTAAGATTCAATAACCAGTTTCCTTAATATCCATAACTAGAACAGTATCTTAAAGCACAAAAAGTGGATAACCTTAACTTCAGTTTATCCATATTGTCAGTTTAATCCATATGAGCATCAGCAAGGATTTTTATGCGTATGACCTTAGTTAGTGCCTATCAGCTGAAGGAGGATATCTGGGCACACTGTATTCTTCCTGACCGACAAATATCTTAATGTATCTTAACTTTAAGCCTTTTTCATTAAAGCTGAGGTGGACATCTTCAAATCTACTGCAACACAAGAGTGCACAAGCACACACGACCCCTGATGATTACTAGAGCTCAGTTAATACTAATGCTCACTGCAGCATAACTGCATTCAAGTTTCTAGACACTAGTGGGAGCTTCACATAGAACATACTTCTATGTGTTTAAGACCAAGAGCAAAGCACTATTCAGTGCTATCAAGAGTTCGTTCTTAAATACATGATCTCCACCCCACTTTTCCAGGCTGCAGCGAGGGTGAATTCAAGCTCTAGGAGTCTGTCAACAGCAGGGAGATGACTGAGCTGACCTGTTGGGGCTAGAAGGCTGCCCTGGCTTCAACAGAATGCTGGGCATTTCAAGTAGCTACACCACTCAGCAACAACAGAGACTGCAAAATGCTCCAAACAGCTTGATTTGAAAAGAAAAAACTCCAACAGGTAAGTCTCTCAGCTAGAGCGAAGAGGCTTGATACAACCTCTTCTCCGCTCTCCCACGCTGAAGCAGGTATTTCTAATGGAGAGGCTGTTTGACTGTATATGCTCCATACTGTCAGACTGCTATTATGCCCTCACTATATATCCCTATAATTCCATACATTCTGCCAGATATTTAACATGGTAGGAATAAAGAATAGAGCCAGCCAGCCTGCTTGAGAGCAATACCAAAAAAAAACCAACCCAGCTGCAAATGAATTAAAAAAGCAGAACTGACCAAACCGAATGGAATTTCCATTTGCAACTAAATATAACACACCAAAATACAAACTTTCCTGGCTGGATCAGGACAGATTTGGAGTACCAAAGATGCAGATGGGAAAAATAAATAGTGGTGGCTCCCAAGATGGCTACGCAGGGCTTTTTCACCCACCATAAAGAATTGTGATGTGACCAGTTCAGAGAGATCATACTGAAATGGTAAGGTGGATACGAGAAGCTTCAAAATATGCAACAAGATGCTTCCCTTCTGCCGTTGTTTTCCATTGTTTCAAAAGAGAGTACTCCCTGGAAGATTCCCTCAAAAATGCTTCTGTTTTCCCTTGTATTTGTTTGATGTCACTTTACAGAACAAAAACTACAACCCCCCTAAGATCTTACACCATATATACACATCAAGATCCCATTCTGACTGACAAACTGCTGGAAACCCAGATTTTTCCCTGCTCTCAGTGGGAGCTGGAACATCAGCTGCAAAGCCCCAAACCTGCCTCAGCCTGTATTTCATGCCATCGCTCCCACGCAGCTGTGCAGCAGCAAGAGCTCTGAAGTTCACTTGCTGCCCTAAGAAGCCTCTGTAAGCCTGGTAGAAATGCAAGAGCCAGCAAGAAACACATCGGATTGGTGAGATTCCTGCACTTGGACGCTCACAGCACAGGAAATACAACAGAAAAGCCAAGCACAAAGCTTACTGTAGAGCTGAGCTATGAAAATATTTGTGCTAATCACTTTGAGAAGAATGTACAGCAGGTCTGTTACTTTCAAGATGTGAAATGGCTCTTGACCTAAGCTCCCAGAAGCTTTAAGAATTATATGGAATATAACTTAGAGACAGATAAATCTGTCCACCTGGACTGTTCTGACCATATCACAATACAGAGAAGCAGCAGATGTCAAGGAGCAGATTCAAGCACTCTACAGATCTCAGACTTTTACTAAAATAGGTAACCTACAAAGAGGCATTTTATCACAATTCTCACAGAAGGAACAAAAAAGCTTGCGGGATCTTTACAGATCGTTTGTAAAGAAAAGGAAAAGTCTGCTTACTGCTGGGGAAAAATACATGAAACTAAGCTCATCACTGTAATTAAGGTGGAGGCAGATTTAACCCGCTTGTGAAACGCTGTGATTCACATGGAACAAGCAGGAACTAGGATGCTCTGAACATGATGCAAGGTAATGTGAGTCCCAATCGCAAGTTTAAAGAAGACAAACACAACAAAAAAAGCTTGAAAGGGCCACCCTATGGCTGGGGCCCTGCATGAGAAGACTTCTGAATCCATCTGTCCTCACAACATTGTCTAATAAAAGAACTGTTGTTACCCTATATAAAATAGAGACTATACTTGCTGACAGAATTACCCAAGACTATGCAAGGAAGCCTGAGGCAAAGCAAGAGCATGAATTATCTTTCAAGTCACAGGTTGGCATTTCAACTCAACACTGTCCTCCCTCTCCTTTCCTCCAAGGGGCTGAAGCTAAAGGGAAGCGTGGCCTGTAATTCTCCTCTTGCGTAACACACAGAGAATCACCGTGTTTGTCAACGCTGGTCTTTCATTATACATCACATACAGTGCCACAGAACAAGGAAAATCTTTCCCAGAATGTCCATGAAGAGGAACTCCTCCTGGTAAAATACACACCACCAATGGCACAATTTTCTTTCTGGTGTTTGGGTTTCCTTGACACAGCACAGCAAGTTCTTGTTTGATTCAAAGATGCCACCTTCACAAAAACAGCTTATTGATAAGATACAGAGGCAACGGCTGAACTCTTCTTACCTAGTAGCAAACAAAACTAATGCACAGCACAGATTGTACTAAACAGCAGCTTTCTATTTTTACCAGCTGAACACAAAAAACCTTGTTCAAATTATATGTTCTGGCAGCTTTCAGAAAAAATGCATTCGAAGTTTATCAGAAATGTCCAGAACGAGCAAATCATCCATCAACTAACACACAGCTACAGTTAACCACGTACAGGGTTTGATATGATGAGATGCATCCACGGGTCCTGAGGGAAATGGCTGATGGAAATGGCTCAGCCACTATTCATCACATTTGAGAAGTTGTGGCAGTCTGATGAAACTCCCACTGACTGGAAAAGGGGAAACATAACCCCCATTTTTAAAAAGGGGAAAGAAGGAAGACCCAGGGAACTACAGGCCAGACAGTCTCACCTCTGTGCCCGGCAAGATCCTGGGGTGGATGCTCCTGGAACTGTGCTGGTGCCCATGGAAAATAAGGAGGGGGCTGCCGAGACCCAACACGGCTTCACCAAGGGCAAAGCATGCCTGATGAATTTGGTGGCCTTCTACGATGTGGTTACAGCGCTAGATAAGGGAAGAGCCACTGATATCATCTACCTGGACTTGTGCAAAGCGTTTGGCACTGTCCTGCACGACATCCCTGTCTCTAAATTGGAGAGACGTGGGTTTGATGGATGGAGCACTCATGGGTAAGGAATTGGCTGGGGGGTCACACTCACAGCTGTGGTCAGTGGCTCGATGTCCAAGTGGGAGCAGTGACGAGGGGTGTCCTCAGGGGTCGGGGTTGGCACCGACGCTGTTGAACATCTTTGTTGGGGACATGGACAGTGGGGCTGAGCCCACCCTCAGCCCATTCCACCCGACCCTGAGCTGTGTGGGGCGGTGACACGCTGGAGGGAAGGGATCCATCCCGAGGGACCTGGGCAGGCTGGAGAGGGGGGACCCTCTGAACCTCAGCGAGGGCAACAAGGCCGAGGGCAAGGTCCTGCCCAGGGGTCGGGGCAATCCCAGGCACAAATCCAGGCTGGGCCAGGAGGGGCTGGAGAGCAGCCCCAAGGAGAAGGACTTGGGGGGCTGGGGGTGCAAACTGCCTGTGAGCCAGCACTGTGCGCTGGCAGCCCAGAAAGGCCCCGTGTGCTGGGCTGCACCCAGAGCAGGGGGGGATTCTCCCCCTCTGCTCCGCTCTGGGAGACCCCCCTGCAGGGCTGGGTCCAGCTCGGGGGCACCAACAGCAGAAGGACACGGACCTGCTCCAGCGGGGCCAGAGGAGGCCACGGAGATGCTGGGGGGGCTGGAGCCCCCCCTGTGAGGACAGGCTGAGAGAGTTGGGGGGTTCAGCTGGAGAAGAGAAGGCTCCGGGGAGACCTTAGAGCGGCCTCCCAGGGCTGAAAGGGGCTGCGGGAACAGGGGGAGGGACTCGTCATCGAGGGTGGAGGGATAAGACAAGGAGGAATGGTTTAAACTGACCGAGGGGAGATTTAGATGAGATCTAAGGCAGAAATTTTTCCCTGTGAGGGGGATGAGGCCCTGGCACAGGCTGCCCAGAGAAGCTGTGGCTGCCCCCTCCCTGGAAGGGTTCAAGGCCAGGTTGGACGGGGCTTTGGGCAACCTGGGCTAGTGGAAGGTGGCCCTGCCCGGGGCAGGGGGGTTGGAACTGGGTGATTCTTTGAGATCCTTTCCAACCCAAACCATTCTGTGATATGCATTCATTCAATTACTTGGCTTTGAGAGGTCTCTATGTAATCGTGGGCATTGAAAAATTTATATTCTGGTTTGACACTAACATGTGGTGTAATTTTGGCCAAATTACTGGAGCTTTTATGACTCATTCTTTCTTCCAGCTATAACAAAATAGGATATATCACCCTACCTCAGTGATGACTTCAGTAATATAGAGACCTCTGGATGAAAGATACTACATCAAGTACATTAACACCCAAACTAGGCATGCATCAGTGATAGCTATATTGAAGATATCTTTGTAAGCCCTTAAGATTTCTTATTAAGTCTCACTCATTCATTTTGCAATCATTTAGTATATTATGTCAGAGCAGCTTCCCATGGAGACAACTATATTATCATAAAGTACAGAGGGTCAAATCTCTTCAAGAAAGAACTAGGACACAAGCTCCATAGAGAAAAGGAGCAGACCTGAAAGAAAAATACTGTGGGAAAAAAACAGATTAAATAAAAGAACTGCATTCACATGTCCATGTAATTACAGTGGGTAGAATTTGAAAGGATGTTTGCTCCCTTGGGAGCAATGATGTGTACTCTAGGCCTCCTACACCATAGAAGCTTTGCTTCTCCCATAGTTAAGCAAGAACTTACATCTCATTCTACCCAACTTGCCTAGCAGCAGCAATAAGGAATTTCTGAAGCGGCAGGAAGGAAATAATTAAGGGGTAAAGAGATTTAAACAAGATATTTGGATAGACACTAAGTAACAGAAGAGTCACAGCGGTTTTCTCATTTTTTTCCCATTACCTCCTCCTCCCACCCCCCTAAAAAAACCTTCACTTTCATCAGGGAACAGATTTTTCTCAGCTTAGTGTATTCAGAGCGTCACCAACTGTAACCAAGTCATGAAACATGTTCTGCTTGGAGAAGACACACTTTATGAAACTCAAGTACTTTTATAGCTTGCCAGCTTTTCAAGATCATCCTAAATTCTGGGAGTGGGCCACAATGATCTCTCTCCTCCAATTTAGAAAAGTTAGCTTGTGTCAACTTGAACTGACTTGTCACCAAACACAAAGCAGTGAGGGGGGCTGCAGGGCTGATGAGAATAGAAGACCACCCCTGCTTCAGCCCCAACCTTGCCAACCCAATCTTGTTTAAATAATAAATAAATATGGATAAATAAGCAGTCACAGGATGAAGACATCCATAACAACCAGCTTTGTGGTCTTTGTTCCAGCAGACAGCATAAGTAGTGACCTAAAGCACACCCAGCCTTACAATCCACTGCTTTCTGCTCCACAAGTCCTTGTTCATTCCATGCAGAACCTCTTGCAGCTCAGCTTGCTTCTTTTTTAGAAAACCCGAGTACTTGTTACATTTTTCCCCACAGAGGCATTAAATCTGTGATAGTCTGGTAGCAAATGTGGTGAAAAAAATCCTTGTAGACTTAATTAACAACTGCCTATCCTTTCAAACCACAGCTCATCCTGCTGCAAGTAGGAGATAAGCTACTCAAGCAGAAGCCAACACTGAAATGCCATTCTGAAATGTTATTAAAATACAAAGCTTAAAGATCTTACAGTTAAGAATTTGGTTGGTGTACCAACTCTTATACACTGCAATCAAATGGATTCTTTCTGCAATGAAAGACACAACAACAGAGGGGACTCACAGAAGATAGTAATACGGATTTATTTACCTGGTAGGTGTTGTCAAAGCTGTCATACATGAACCTGGTGATCAAGGAAGTCTTCCCCACTAAAAAAAAAAAAAAAATAATAAAAACACAGATTCAAGGGACAATTTCGAATACAAATTTTAAGCAAGTGAATTTAGGAAGAGTTTTCACTGTTCCAGAAGTTTTACTCTGTGCCCAACAGATCTGTACTGTGCAATTAAACTTCCTACATGCAGAAGTTCAACTTTGCAATTGCAAAGTCACTAGTAGACACTATTTCTGAAAAAGGTCAGCTCCTACATCATTCCTGAGCATCAGTTTTATTCTTAAACATTCATGATTCGAGACGAAAACTGAAATAATCTGAGTGTTCCAGTTTCTACCAAGGCATTCAGAAATTTTAGTTGAACTAAAGGAACAAATGTAATAGGTCTGACAACTGCTACAGCAAATTATTCTAAACCAGAAAAGCTCTTCTCACTCATAAAAAAGGTAGCTATGTTGCTTTCAAACACATCTCGCTGCACATCTCCTCAATGTCACCCTCTCCATATCTGTCACACAAATGGCAGTCCCTGCTCTAGTATCACAGTAGCATAAGACAAGATTGAAGAGCATCCTTGTCAGGAGGCTTGTTTACCATCTGCCCACAATGCCTGCAGTCCTTATCACTCCATTAACTTCACCCTTCCTTTGACAACATATTCACTATCCATTTTTGTATAAGGAGGTTTATACGCTGTTAAAAATGCCATTACCTACCCTGGCAATGGCTGCAGGTCGTGGAGGGGTACACTGGTTCAGCTTGGCGCCGCGATCAGAAGGTGTCACTGCAGCAGCTGCAGGCACACCTGATCGCCACCGAGACACAGGTGAAGCCTTTTTCATGCAGCTAGTTGTGATGCTGCAGCTCCTCTGTAACTGCCACTCAGCTTGGCCAGGTTAAATCACAGACTACATCAAACTATGTCAAGACCCTCATCTCATAACCGACAACTATAAACTGTGTGTTGTAACACGCCAGCCCGCTCTCAGACCACTTTCTAGTCTCATTTTCCTTAAAACACAAGTAATACAAGGTTCATTAAAAAAAAAAAAAAAAATCATTGTCACAACCATTACTTTCTACTCTAAGACCAACAATTGAGCCGAGCCCAGCTTATACTCAGTGAACAACTTTTTCCTACTTCATGCCACCTTCACCTGAAGGGGACCAGCAAGATACACAGAACTAGACCATATCAGCCTGCCTCATTTCAATATGTTTAAATACTTTTTAATTGTAGGTGCATTATTTAGAAAACCAAGTTACCCAAGAACACATCACCTCCCATTGTTTTCTTCTGGACTTACTTCCAAAACTCACCATCTCCCACTGGCAGGGGAGAAGAACTGTATGACTTACGTTAGTCACCCAACATTGCAGGCACAGATAAAATGCAGTTTGAGGTGCACAAGCCAAACTTGCATTCTTCAAAAAAGTTTTCAGAAATGTCAGTACTCTGCAAAAGTGACCATCAAGAGAGTAGTGGAATTTAAGGCAAGATTTTGGGGATGGGGTGGGTTTCTTAGAGAGTTTCTGGGTTGTTTGGTTTTTTGGGGTTTTGTTTGGTTGGTTGCTCGGATTTTTTTTTAATTTTAGTATAAAACTTTCCACAAAGTCTCCAGTATCATATTTAAGCAGCATTTTAATGCATCTGCAAACTTCAGTTAGCTCTAACTAACAGGAATCTGATAGACAGCCTCTGAGAAAAAGATTTTCCCAAGTCAAAATTTGAATTCCTGTGTGAAACTTTTACCATATTCTGCTCCACAGGTATAATCAGATTTCCCACAAAGTTAAAAAACTGCCTTTGCAAAGGCAGAGACAACATTCCCTTTGGTGAGTAGTTTTTTGGAAGCAATGTATCTCAGATGGGCAGGATCCCTGAATCCCTTACTCCAATTTGTCCCAGGGTCCCCCAGATGTGTTGAACAGTACCAAGCTGGTGCAGGACAGCCACGAGCTGTGAGAGGAGAGTTTCACTCCAGACCCTGCAATGACAACAATCCTCAAAAGGACAGAGCTGAGCAAATCCAGTACCTTCCCACTGCAGTACACACCATAAATCCCAGTAATGGATTTGCAGCACCACAAACAAGCCGGCGTTTCCTCATGTGGCCACCGATGTGAACAGTCAAATTTAATTCTTTAGAAGTGCAAGGGGATGTAATCAACCCCATGAAATAATTGGCTTTGCTAAGTCACAACCCCTGCAGAGCAGTCATGTCTTCCAGCAAATCATTTCCCTTCCCACTATACACGGAGATGTCTTGGAGGGAGTCTGTCTAGAAACTGTGAAATCTGAAAAGATTTTCCATTCCATATTGTTTGAGCTTCCTTACCCTACTTTGAATCATTTCAGAAAAAGGGTAAAATAAGGTGCCACGTGGCTTGCTTATACTTCAATATCTGCTCCAACCAATGTTTGTATAGTGTGTCTTAATGCACTTCAGTTCCAAGACATTTCTTCTCCAAACAGACCAAGGCTTTCTTTACATAGTATGTCAACAGGCTCCAGATCAAGTTCGTATTAATACCAACTGCTTACAGTTTTAATTCCGTCATGACTGCTGAAGCATCACCATTTCTCCTTTAAAAAAAAAAAATTTGCTTTAAAAATCCTGGCAGAAGTGAAACCCACAATTCCCACTGTATCTATAATTAAAAGGAAAAGTCAGTGAATCTTCTCTTCAGAAATTCACAAGTTTAGATTATATAAACAGACACCTTGTCCAGAGGGTTACAGGCTTTAAATATTCCCTCTTTAAAAGAGCCAATCCTAATAGCTAACACCATCTCAGCTCTCCCCAGCCTCCCCACACACACCGCCCTGCCTACCAATGGCAGAAACTATCCCCAGCCCTACAAAAAATAGCCAGATGAATCACCTTAGGATTCATATACCATCTGTTGCACACTAAAGCGATGGGGATGCATATGCTGATTCTCCTGTGGAAGCCATGCTGCTATGAGCTCTGTTTCAGAGAGCTTGAATAGAGAACAAAAACCCACAGAAATTAATCCATTGGCAATAAGATTGATCACTTTTCTCCCACACGGAGCACAGACAGGCCCCTGGGCTAGTCAGAGCTCAAGCAGCGTCATGCTTGATTTTGTGAGTACACTGAGTACTTCGACATGCTAACTGTATGAGGGACCTAAAACAAGTTACAAACTAAATTCCCAGTCAGGACAATCTCTTAGGAAAAGACACCGTGCAGCTAGCACACCACAGCCTGCAGAAAGAAACAGCTGATCTTTTTTCCCCCTGCCTTGGCAGGGCAACAAGGAAGGGGCCACTGAGCCACAGCTCACCATTTGACTTTGAAGTCAAGACCTTGGGCTCGTGGATGAGTTTTATTTTTACATCCGTTTTTATTTGGAACATCATAACAGAGTGTTAAGTCCCTGTAGGTGACTTAAAAAATAAATAAAAAATAACAATAATAAAGGACATTGACTAAAAAAGAATCAATTTATCAACCAGGGATCTGCAGGAGACTTTGAATCCCATTCTATTAAATATTTTCACTTGCTTTCTATTCAGTCTTGCTGGCTGTATGTTTATCGAATTCAGAGGGCATTAATTTGGAAATGATTGCAAGCAAGTTAGTGGACAGAATCAGAATTCAAAATAATCTTAAAAAATGCAGAAGTCAGTTCAAGAGGAAAATGAAGCTCAGCAGGGAGAAGTTGCACAAGGTAATAAACAAAAACAAGAACAACTGCCTGCTTAAAATACAGACCGCAAGCAACTGGGTAAGCAATCTAGGGGTTGTAACCAAAGGAAGCAGATAAGACAGTCAAGGCTTCAGCCTTGTTTCATTAAGCAGTTTTTTTAAACCTAGTTCATTTAATCTCTTGGAAAAATTTCAACACACAAATATGTCCAGGGCAGCATTAGTCAGCGATGCAGAAGCCTACAATGTCCTTTAGGCCAAAATATTTCTGGTATGCTGCTGGGACAAAAAAAAAGTTAACATTATCCTTGGAGGAATAAAGGTGGGGGAGGAAACACTGCAAATGGGGTTTGAGGGTTTTACTGCAGTACACAGCTTTTGCTGGAGCAGTAAGGGTTCTGCTGGACACACGGGCAGCTGCGTTACAGGAAGCGAGGAAAAACTTCAAACAACTCAGGAGTTATTGGAAAATAAAAAAAGGCAGCTTGGAGAGTTTACACAGAAGAACTGAAAGGTGATGGACAGCAAAGTAACTTAGTGATAAGGAAAGGTTGTCTCCAGCCTCTTTTCTTTCTGTAGATCAAGATCTAACAGCTCAAAACTGAGTCTGAAATAAGTCCTAAGAAAAGGCATCCAACTTTAAAAGTGAGGGCAATTAAAACTGTGAAATAACCTACTCAGCTGGGCAGTGGATCCTCCTCCCTTCCTTGGCACGCAGAGTTGTCAGATGTCATTCCACTGTAGGAATTTACATGCAAGGCATCTGAGAATTTTTTGAAGCAGAGGGAAACTAAGAAAATAAGTGATGAACCAAAGAAACCATTCCTTCCAACACTGCACCTGAACATCAATTTTTGGAAACTCTTCTGTCACTAAGCATCTGAACAACAGTAGCAGTGTAGGTTTTAGATGAGTTTTCTGCTTCTTCAAGCTTTTGATCCAACAAAACCAAAATCCACATTAACCAGCTCCTAATCCACAGCTGTGGCTGAGACATTACAGCTTAAGTGCACAGATAATCAATGTACACTTCTGGATGGGAAGGCAACTGGCTCCAAGAGGAATTTTTAAGCTTGTAATCTGACTTGCTCAGATTATTTTCTTCATCTATATCAGCTCTGGAAGAATTTAGACCTAGAGATCACCAGTGGCTCCCATGCTGAACCAGCTGTTCACCCCCCTGTCAAACCTGAAGAGCACACATTAACACACACTGCAGAGCTTGCCTGGTGCTTTTTTTCAGGGAGGCTGGGGGAAAAGCAGAGAAAGAAATGCTTTGCTGTAGAAGGCATTAAGTGGAAGCACTCATCTGCATTAACTCTTGACAATCTGCAACGTTTTAATACATTATGGGACAAGAAGTA